AGAAGAGAAAGGCCAGGTGCTTCCCTGTGGACACTGTATTAGCACCATGGCAACAGACCTCAGAGCTCCAAGCCCTTGCTAGCAAATGAATGCTTGACAGCAATGTAACAGGCAAAGAAACCAAAGCTGCAGATGGAGGGCCTGGGATTTGCTCAAAGTTGACAGGGTTCCCTATGTTCAAAGGGAAAGTGAATCCAGCAACCACCTTCCTGATTAGGTAGATTAGCACCTTACTGGTTGGACTTGGTTCCAACCCACAGTTTATTTTATCACTGCCTTTGTAATTCTGCTTCTCTCTGTGTGTCTCTCACACACCTTTTTTGTCTTCCTCCATATCCCCCTTTTTCTGCATTATCCTCTTTTACCTCTTCTCTTTTACAAAAAGACATTAGAAAAAGTATGAGGGGAGTGTTGGTTGTGTTTCCAATGCAAACCACCCTGATTGACTCGCAGCAAAAATATTAACTATGGATATGGTTTTGACCAAAGCCAGTGTCTTGCAGTGGTTGACTGTTGGGCTAGTACTCCATAAAACTCCAAGAGACCAGGGATCAAATCCCTACTTGGCCATGGAAAACTAGTGGGTGACCTTGGGCTAGTCATATCCTTTCTGCCTCAGAGGAAGGCAATGGCAAACCTCATCAGAAGAAAACTTGCCAAGAAAACCCCAAGAGAGAGTCATCATAAGTTGCAATCGACCTGCTCATCATTGCAGACCAGACCCTCAAGATGGTTATATTAATCCCTACAGTTCTTACCACTGGCCATGCTGGTTGAAGTTTCTGGAACTAGTTGGCCAAAACATCTAGAGAACCAAAGTTTCCCATCCCTGATGTAGATAATACTCAACTAGATGAACTCAAAATTTGACTGATTATAAGACAGCATTAATGTGCTTTTCACATACATATTTTCAATAGGGAAGTGCACATTTTCCTATTTAGAGAAATCTAGAGAGACTGCACAATACATCCCTAAATTCTATACAGTTCATTCAAATACAAATTGGTTCCAAACATTTCTAAAATGCTCGTGTGTTCACCACCACCACCACCACCAAAACATTTTCTTAGGCCAGTTGCTTTTCTGTTTTGTTCCAAAAAACTAAAACAAGAGCCTCCTAAGATTTTTTTTACTGCAGAATCCCTTAGCTGTTTCAAAACATTTAATAACTGTAGTCATCCTGGACATTGTCCCACCCTTCCTCCCCCACATTTTTCAGGGCTTTTTATCTTTTAAATCTGATTTGTCTACACCCACTTGCTCTAAGGATTTTGTTATCTTCTGTTCTGTTAACACACGCCTATTTTGCCATCCCCCAGAGCTAGCTTTTCAAAGACTCACCCTTTAAAAACTGCAATCCTAGTGAAGTTAGTAGTGTCTGAGAAAAGCAGATGTCTAGCTGTGCTCAAATTTAGCATGGTTAAAAAAAGACCACTGCAAAAATGAACAGAAAAGTCCCAGAATCAGGAGGAGGAGATGAATTAACTACGGGCCTCGGCAGATGGCTAATAGAGCCGTCTTGGAGGCAGGGAAGAGGAGGGGCAGCCGCATGCTTGGCGCCCCTGCCTCCTCCCGAAGTTGCCCTCGGAGCTGCCGGCCCTCCGCACGGCCGGCGCTCTGAGGGCAACCTCCCGCCACAGCGTCCGGACACGCTGTGACGGAAAAGTCAGCGAAAGTGCGCTGCAAGCTTTTGCGGCACACTTTCGCTGACTTATGAAAGGAGCGCTATTTTAGCGCTCCTTTCAGGGGCGGCGAAGGTGCGCCGCAGGATCGAGGCATGGGGATGCCTCGGTCCCGCGGCACACCTTCCAAGGGCGGCCCCGTGCCGCCTTGCAAACAGTGTACAAGTTAATAAGGACTCTTGGCTCAGTGGTAAAATATATGCCTTCTATGTACAAAGTCCAGGTTCAAATCTTGAAATTCATTAAATAGGGTCAGATAACAAATAAGGGAAAAGAACTCAGCCTGTGGCCCTAAAGATCTGCAACCTATCAGAGTCATCAATAATTATCTGGATGGACATGGCCTGATCCAATTTAAGGCAGATCCCTGTGAACCTAATGATCTATTGGAAAACAAAACAAAGTGATGAATCAAGGTAGATATAGAGTTGGCCTGAAATTGAAGGGACAGTTCTTTTGTTCATAATTCATTGCCTCTTAAGCCTTCAACTTGCATCTAAATGTTCTGAATAATATGCAGACCTTATTTCCAAATTCTCAGCTATACACATTCAAATCAGCATATAATTTTTATTTCCACGTGAAGTGCAATTTAGTTTTTTAAAACCCACCAAAAAAAACTGATTGAAGAACACATCTTATTCCCTGGAAGAACCACCAAAATATAATGGGTAAAACTGAGCTTGTGATTCCCTTAGAAAAATACGCAAACACAATGGATATACACACTGAGGTAAGTCCCTTTTTTTTTACACTAAGAATTATGTCCCTAATAGGTGACTTCTAAAGATCTCATGCTGGCAATGCTTTGTTTCTTTAACACACTGGACTCACAGATGTTTTAAAGGTACCTGGTAAAGCAAGCATTCAGAAGCAAAAGTAAGCCAAGGTCAAGTCAGTGCCTGGATGAGTGGTTCCTTGGGAACCCCTTGCCCACTACCAAAAACCAGGACTTGCAGAATTCCCTTTTGGGGGTTGTTGTTGTGTGCCATCAAGTCAATTCTGACTTATGGTGACATTAAGGTGAATCTATCATGGGGGTTTTTGGAACTCATTCAAGGTGACCTGGTAGGTTTCCATGACTGAATGGTGACTCAACCCTGTTCTCCCAAGTCATAGTCTGTACGCTGCCCCGATTGCCTAGCAGAGGGGTGGGATATAAATAAAAATTATTATTATTATTATTATTATTATTATTATTATTATTATTATTATTATTATTATTATTATAGTCCAATGTTCAGACCACATGCTGGCTCTCTTTTTGGACTACGAATCCCCCAACCATCCTGGAGTGGCTGGAAATTTTCAAAAGCTGTATTCCCCCCAAAAAACAGTTTTTCCAAGCTGTGCTCTGAGTTCAGTAGAAAATCTTTAGTATCAGGATACAAGTACAGTAACTTGGATGTCATTCTGTTACATCACTTTGATACGACTTTTAATTGTCATGGCTCTATCTTACAGAATCCTGGGATTTGTAGTTTTGTGAATTAGAATTCTGTGCCAAAGCCCACTAAACTACACATCTCAGGATTCTGTAGGCTACAGCAATGGTAGTTAAAGTGATATCGAGATGTTGTAACTGTGTGATGTGGAAAAGACCTTGCTCAAAGGCAAGCCTAGCAGCACACTTGCAAGATCCTGGTTTTGCTCCCATGAGCAGCTTAGCCTAGCTCCAGATGAAGGCTTTATTCCACCATAGGGTTAGAGTATGAAAGAACTGGAAAAGATACTGAAGAGCAAAGACATACAACTGAGCACTAAAGTCAGAATCATTCAGCTCACTGTATTCCCAATTACCATGTATGGATGTGAGAGCTGGAGAGTGAAGGAAGCAGACAGAGAAAAAAATCAACTCATTTGAAATGTGGTGCTGGAGAAGAGTACTTAGGATACCATGGACAGCCAAGAAGACAAACAAATGGGTTCTTGAACAGATCAGGCCAGGGATCTCCTTGGAAGCAAAGATGATCAATTTGAGACTATCGTACTTTGGCCACATAACGAGAAGGCATGGATCACTAGGAAAAGCAATAATGCTAGGATAGGTAGAAGAAAGAGAGGAAGACCACAAATCAGCTGGATAGACTGAATGGGGGGAGGGAGTTATGGGCAAGGGCTTGCACGATCTGGGCAAGGCAGTGGAAGGCAGGGATTCTTGGAAATGTTTCATCCACAGGGTCGCCATGAGTTGGAACCAACTCGAGGGCAGGTAACAACAACAACAAAATTACCAGCTGTGCCACATGATGACTCTCAAGGTGAAGCTGTGGGGCTGAATTTTCCCTAGAGATGTCAGAGAAACCCTTGGCTTTTAAATAGGCAGAGTTCTAATTATCCCCTGTGCTGGTCACCAGTAGTAGTACAGAACATTACACTAAGTTAGCATGTAATTTTTGCATAAAATTACAGTATTCTTTCCCCTGGGTTCAATTTCCTACACCCAGAATTCTTAGCATCCCTTAATTAAAGCAACCAAACTCCCTTTCCCATAAGGAGTTCAGTCCCTTCCCATCTCAGTCCTTACACACACCCCTTTCCAAAATGCCTAAGGGACCTATGGCTAGTCAACACAAGTTAAACATGGGGTGAAACAAGGCAAAGTGAACAAACCATAGTTTTGAGAAGAAACTATAAGTTCCCTGACACAAAACAGTATAACAGCTTAGTGGTTTGAGTGCTGGACCCTGTAGATCAGAGTTCGATTCCCCATTCAGCCATGGAAACCAACTGATGAGTGACTTTGGAGATGTCACACACTGTCAGACCCAGAAAATCCTGTGATAGTTTCACCTTAGGCTCACCATAATACTAATACTAATACTAATAATATTTATTTATATCCCGCCCCTCTGAGAACAATCGGGGTGGCTAACAATATTAAAAATACACAATCCAATCAAATCCCCAACACCCTCCCCCCCTTAAAAAAGTATTAAATCCAAAAAGATTAAAACATACAAATTAAAACGACCCAATGGGCAACAGCATTACACAATTATACAACATGATCTGGTGGCATCGATCAATAAATAAAATAAATCGGCACTGTCCATAAATAGTTACTGAAGATGTTCCTAGAGGATTCTCC